GGCTGATTTTTTGATTTATTGTAGAGATGAGGTCTCGCTGCCCAGACGGGTCTCGACCCCGCGGGCTCAGTCAATCCACTCACCTCAGCCTCCCAAAGGCGCGGGATTATAGACTGAGCCACCGAGCCTGGCTGCCATTTTATTTTATTTTTTTAGTTTTTAGTGAAGGGGATTTCACCCACACACAGTGAAAAATGCAGGGTTAAGTGGACTTAATATCAGAGATGAATGAGTTTAAGTGCTGCTACCTTTGTGTGGTCCCTCTGTCCCTTTGCAAGAGTCAAAGTGACATTCCCCATTGGGAAACCTTTTCTCCAGTTGGGTGTGATGAGAATTTTAGACAGGTGAACGCAGACACATCTCGATCATGATGGTATTATATGCCAGTAAAACCATTGTAAATGTCATAATTGAGAACTCCTCTAAAGCAGACCAAGTCTCTCATGAACCCCTTGTTCTTTCCTCCTCTCCTGGTGAACCTTCACAGGCCTCTACTCTCTTCGTGAAGCAGCAGAAAATGAACATGGCTCAGGTGAGTTTGGTTCTTAATCAGTTTGTTTTACAAATTTTCATAAGGGTTTTTTAAGGTTTTTGTAAGGGTTTATGTATCTGTATTTTAATATGAAAAAGTAGAGACAGAAATGGGTCAGACACATTGATAGAACATACAGAAATACAGAAGACTAGCAGAGCAAACTTGGCATGTGGGTAGATAGATGCAGGTCCTCTGCTGGTACACATTTACCAAATTGAGTTCCACATTTATTTCTGTGGTTTTTAATTACCTTGGCAGAGGGCCAGACATTACATAATGGTTTACATTGATGAGAAAGATAAAGCAAATTGATTCCTCAAGAAATATAAAGATGAAGATAACCCGATGTAATTGTTGTTCTACAAGTAGGTGATTTAGTAATAACTCATTACATAGCGTAGAATTTCTTTGCTTGTTCCTCGATAGAAGTAGAAAATGTCATGTTGAGCACTAACTCACTCGTTACTCACTCACTCACTTCTCAAGAATTCAAACACAGGGTTTAATGAGACATTTTTGTGATGAATCAACTGAATGTCTTTAAAAATCACACTCCATAAATATTCTGAGTATCCATGATATTCAGGTTGTTTAGCAGATGATTTAAAATTCTGTTCTTTTTCAGATGTCTCCACACTTTGCAATCAACTTCAAATGTCTGTGATGCCTTGGTTTTTCTTCCCACTTGTCTGTGGCTTCCAATGACCACACTGGATTGTAATCAAACCTGGTGGGCATTGTCTTATCCTTTCCTCACTTGACGTTTCTTCACCACTTGCCTCTGCTTCTCACTCTGTCCTGGAATGTTTCTCTGTGAGTGATACTTTCCACTGGCCTGTGCTTCCCCTGCTACCGTCTCCATGGACTCATCATTTCCTCTTGTCTTACTGACTTTGAATATGTCATCCCATTGCCTTCTGTTCTTCATGGTTCCTCATTTGAAATCCACTTTGAATATGATAGGTTGCTTCTCCCTTGCTGCTTTCAAGATTATCTCTGTCTTTGGCTGTTTTAAAACTTTGATTATATTGTATCCAGGTGTAGATTTCTTTCTTCAAGATTATCTTACTTGTAGTTGAGCTTTTGGAGTGTGTAGATTAATCATGTCCTTCAAATTTTGGAACCTCTTGGCCACTTTGACTTCAAAAATTGTGTTAGACCCTTTGTGTCTCCCTTCTCTGTCCTGTACTCTCATTATGCATATGTTGGTAAGCTTGATGTTGTCCTATGGTTCATTTTTTTGTTATTACTTTTTTCTTTCTCTTTCTCACTGCATAGTCTCAATGGACATGTTATCTTAGTTGCTTCTTTACTTTTAGAGTTTCTGTTTGGTCCCGTTTTATAATTTCTGCCTCTTTTTGTCTTTATTTAGTGACATACTTCCCTTCAGTCCTTAGATATCATTTCCTTTAGGTCTTTAACCATATTTAAAATAACTGATTTAAAGTCATTGTCTAGTTAAGTCCAATATCTGCTTCCTCAGGAGGAATTTCTGTTGATTACTCTTTTCCTGCATATGGGTCTTACTTTTTTTTTCTTGTTTTGTAATTTTTTTTTTTTTACATTGGAGTCTCACTCTTTGCCACCCAGACTGGAGTGCAGTGGCATGCTCATGGCCACTGCAGCCTTGACCTGCTGGGCTCAAGCAGTCCTTCTGCTTCAGCCTTCCAAGTAGCTGTAACTACAGATGCATGCCAGCACACCAGCCTAGTTTTTGTGATTTATTGTAGAGACGAGCTCCCTCCAAGTTGCCTAGGCTGGTCTTGAATCCCTGGACTCAGACAATTCTTTCACCTCTGTCTCCCAAAGTGCTGAGATGACAGGCTGAGCCACTGTGCCCGGCCTTGTTTTACAATTTTTGTTGAAAACAGGATATTTTAATAAAATATGGCAACTAGAAGAATTTCTCTCCTCCCAGGGGTTGTTGTTGAAATTTGTCCATTGAATTTTTTTATTGATTTGGAGTCTCATTCTGTCACCCAGGCTGGAGTGAGGTGGCCTGTTCACTGCCACTGCAGTCTCCATCTGCTGGGCTCAGGCGATCCTTCCACTGCAGTCTTCCAAGTAGCTGGCACCACCGGTACATGCCTCCATGCCTGACTTATTTTTTTTTTATTTATTGTAGATACACGGTCTTACTATGTTGTCCAGGCTGGTCTCGAACCCCTGGGCTCAGGCAATCCTTTTACCTCTGCCTCCCAAAGTGCTGGAATTATAGGCATGAGTCACGGCCTGGCCTTTTCAGTTACTTTTTAAAACGAATTCAGTAATACCTGTGTTTGTTGTGTGTGGCAGCTGAAGACTCTGCAGAAATTTCCTTAAATGCCTGAAACCAAACTAGTGTCCCAGTCTTTTCCAAGGGGCCTTGTGAATGCTGTGGCATTTCTCCAGCAGTCATCCAGGCCATTTACAACTCTGTATTAGTCTTCACTTCCTGCTTTCTCCAGACCGTAGGGTCACTCAGAAGTGACAGCTTAGAGCCTTCTCATGTCCTTCCTGAGTATATCACAGTCCTGGGCATATTCTCAACTCAGTGCATATAGGTGGGCTTCTCAATTCTCAGGAATATATCAGAGTTTTTTAAAACCTTTATGGACATTTTATCTTCTAGCTTGTCCTTTAAATAAAGCTTTTTATTAGGTGATTACTTACCCCAACTGTTTATCCACCACCCCAGGTAGCAGGTAAGTTAAAGTTGGCTTTGAATGTTTTTGACTAATACCTTGGAGCACAGGTTTTTCATCCTGGGTGAAAACTCTTGAATTAGTTCAGTAATCAGCTTTGCAAGGGAGGTCTTCAAAGGAACCATCATATTAACTCAAATGATGACAGTTTTCTGAGAACAGGCCTTTGACAGCTCTAACCCACCTCTGATTCCTCCAGTGATTGCCAGGCTGCTGGTTTTGCCTCTTATCTCAGATGATTGGTTCTCAAAGCTCATGTGGAACTGGAGAGTGCTGGATGAAAATAGGACAAGTTAAGGTGATGCAGAACTATGGTTCTCCCACTGTTGCAGCCTTTTTTAAAAAACATTTTCAATTTTTTTTTTCAATTGAAGTCTCACTCTGTCATCCATGCTGGAGGGATACGGCTACTGCAGCCTCAACCTGCTGGACTCAGGCAATCCTTCCATCTTAGCCTTCCTAGTTAGTAGCTGAAACTACAGTATGTTCCACCAGGGACAGCTAATTTTTTGGTTTATTGTGAGATGAGGTTTTGCCAAGTTGCCCAGGCTATTCTCAAACCCCTGTGCTCAGGCAGTCCTCTGGGTCTACAGGCATAATGTATACTTTTTTTTTGGTATAAATATTCTTGTATAGATTGCTTGAAGCCTTTGATTAGCTTGCAGAAAAAGTTGACTGTGTAATTGCTGCCAGTTTCTCATTACTTTTATGGAAGAGAGAATTTTCTCAACTTCAGTATTTTTGCTGATATCACTTGTTAGCTTAAATTTGAAGTCTTTTGGTATAGAAAATTTCCCTTTTTTTAGTTTCTACGACTTTTTCCTCTGGATTCTATTACTATTTTTCAGAAACCTTCTTCTCTGATTTCTTACCTGTACATTTTCTGCCAGCCTCTTTAATATATGTGGTCCTCAAGTGTTTTTGTTTAGGTACTTTTTCCTTAATCTCAGTGTGCTCAAGGAGCTGTCTGATTGTCTCTAATAACTTCAGTTACCAGCTAGAATGCTAATGACTCCTAAGTGCTTGTCTTCATCCTAGACTTGCCTTCTGTGCTCTGAAATCATGTCTATTGGTTTAAAGGGCAGTTCCAGCTTTATGTCTCACACATCCCTTTGTAGCAACCTGAACAGATCTCCCACTCAAATGTCTCACACGTCTTTCCTTTTGTTTCTCAATTGTCAGTTTTTGGCACCATCAAGAAGCTGATTATTTTGAAACATACATTATATTATTATTAACTAGAGTCACCATGATGTACAGTATCTTGAAAACTTGTTCTTGTCTGATGGAAAGTTCGTATCCTTTGACCAACATCTTCTGTTCCTCTCCCCATCTCCCCCAGACTCTGGTAACTGCCATTCTATTCTTTCTTTACTTCTATGCATTTTACTGTCTTAGATTCCATGTATAAGTGAGATCTTATTTGAAAGATTTATCTTTCTGTCAATTAAAAAAAAAAACAGAAAAACAGAGAGAGAGGCTTCTCACACAACTAGACTAGGTTGCTACCTCAAGCAATAATCATCAGATGGTTGCTGCTTCTCTGTGATTATATTCTATTCTTATGTCGGTTGCTGTTACTTCTGTGTGCATAGTGTTTTCTTACTATGGTCTAATTGGTTCCAACTTCTTTGTAAGCCATTCATTGTTCTTCATGAGCTCTAGATTTCTCTATTTTCATATATTTACTTATACGTAATTTGGTCAGTTATCTTTCTACTGCTCACATGTCTTTCTTCCTTGGCTTCCAGTATTTACAGGGATGATGGAGGGTGTGAACTTCCTAGAGAATACAATCATCCCAGGAATGAGCAAAAAGAGTTGTAGAAGGTTTAATGACATTGAATTTTTCTGTCTTAAAAACATCTGGAATTCATCAATGTATATAGATGCAGTATGGTAAATTAGAAACCTTTTAAGCTAACTGAGTGACAAGTTGTAAGATAAAATTTGGTCCAAAATAAACCTCTATAACCAACTGTTTTTGAGCCTCAAGAGTAAACAGGAAAAGTTCTCAGGTATTTTCTGTGTCACCTAATTCTGAGACCTTGAACAAAATATGTTGCTGAAGGGATCCGTGTCATTCGAGGACGTGACTGTGGAACTCACCCGGGAGGAATGGCAGCTGATGGGTCCCAGGGAGCGGAGCCTATACAGGGACGTGACACTTGAGAACTATGGCCACCTCATCGCAGTGGGTGAGCGGACCTGCCGTTGGACTCCTTCTGCATCATGTTTGCTTTTTTTTTAATTATCAAGACACATAGATTCTTTATAGAGATTAAAGGCTTCATTGATTTTGGACTAAAAGGTCTAATGTAATTGAAACCTTTACAGAAACAAAAACAGTTTTTGTCATTATCTTCCCTTCAAAAACATCAGATGAATATTCTCAGTTAATGCTTTTATAGCTATGTCTTTTTCCATCCAAGGGCTCATGGATCTGGTCCATTTATACCCTCAATTATTTCTTTACAGGGTGTTGCATTGCCAAACCCCAGGTTATCCTCAAGTTGGAGCAAGGAGAACCATGGCCCCTAGAAGTCAAATTCCTAAACCGGAAGTACACAGGTGAGTGAGTGTTGACAGAAGGAGCCTTGGGGTAGTTAGATCTTAGTGGAAGAGCACTTTAAAAGTTTTTTTTTGGGGGGGTGTAACAGCTTTATTGAGATATAATTAACATCTCATGCAATTCATTCAAAGTGTATAGTTCAATGGCTTTTAATGTGTTTATCAAAACAGTCTGCCCTCTGTATCCATGGGTTCTGCATCCATGGATTCTAGCAATTATGGATTGTAACTACTTTAAAAAATGCATCTCTACTGAAAACAAAGACTTTTTTGTCATTATTCCCTAAACAATATAGTATACAACTGTCTACTGTCTCTGTGTTATGAGGCTAGTAAGTAATATGGAGATGATTTAAAATATACCAGAGGATTTGTATAGGTTATATGTAAATACTGTGCCATTTTATATCAAGGACTTGAGCATCCATAGATTTTGGTATTCAAAGGAGTCCTAGATCCAATCCTCCAAGTGACGACTCTATGTACAAACGTCATCACCTCAAAAAGAAATCTGTACTCTTTAGTTGTCATTCTTCTATACCCCTGACTCCTGCAGCTCTAAGTAGACGTTGATCTACTTGTGTCTCTGCAGATCTGCCTATTCTGGTCATTTTGTATAAATGGAATCATATAATATGTGATCATTTATAATTGGCTTCTTTTGCTTAACTTAATGTTTAAAAGGTTCGTGTTATAGCGTATATCAGTGTTTCATCCTTTTTATGGCCAGATACTATTTCATTGTTTGGATATACTGCCTGTGTTTCCATTTATCAGTCAGTAGATAATTGGACTACCACCTTTTGGCTATTATGGATCATGCTGATATAAACATTCATTTACAAGTTTTTGCATGGACATATGTTTTTATGCCTAGGCATGAAATTCTGGGTTGTGTGGTACCTCTGTTTATCTGATTAAGTAACTGCCAGGCTGTGTTTCTAAATGACATCACCATTTTCCATTCCTAACAACAGCCATAGGGATTCTGATTTTTCCATATTCTTACCAACATTTGTTTGATTCCAGCTATCCTGGTGAATGTGAAGTGGCATATCCTTGTGATTTTGATTTGTTTTTCTTTATTAGGCAGCCAGGGCTGTCATAATAAGATACCACAGACTGAGTGGATTAAACAACAGAAATTCTCTCAGTTCTGGAGGCTGAAAGTCCAAGATCAGGATGCCAGTAAGTTGGTTTCTGGTCAGACCTCTCTTTCCTGGCTTGCAGAAAGCCACCTTTCTTGCTGTGTTCTCACATGACCTTTCCCCTGTGCGTATCCACTGGGGGGGGGGGAGAGCACCCTGGTATTTTTTTTCCCTTTCTTGTAAGGACACCAGTGCTACTGGATAAAGGCTTCATCCTTATGGCCTCATTTTAACCTGGATTACCTCCTAAAGGCTTTGTCTCTAAATACAGTGTTACTGGAGGTTAGTTCTTCAACATATGAATTTGGGGATGGGACACGGTCCATAACAGTTTCTTTGTCACTAATGATGTCAAACATCTTTTCATATGCATCTTAGCCTTTGTCTATACTAATAAATGATTCCAGAAATTTAAAAAAATTATAGTTTTCAATATAATTCCTAGAAGAAAAAGTAAAATCATCTTAATTATTAGAAGTGATGTACACTAGCTGGGCTCAGTGGCTCAGCCTGTAATCCCGTGCCTAGGGAGGCTGAGGTGCCTGAGCCCACAGGTTCAAGACCTGGCTGGGCAGCAAGACCTCATCTCTACAATAAATCAAAAAACCAGCCGTGCATGGTAGCGCATGCCTGTAGTTCCAGCTACTTGGAAGGCTGAGGCAGAAGGATCGCCGGAGCCCAGCTGGTTGAGCCTGCGGTGGCCAGGAGCAGCCACTGCACTCCATTCTGGGCAACAGAGTGAGACTCCAACTCAAAAAAAGAAAAAAAAGAAGAAGTGATATACACTTATTGAAAGTTTTTGTTGTAAAGCCATACAAACAAATGGCATTACATAAAGATTGACATAATTTAGATCAAGCATATTTCCCAGTCAATATATGTAAAAGATTAGAGCATATTGACTGACTAAATAAGCTATCTCTAAATACAAAACTTAGAAAAATTGTTATAAAAGAATGGTAAAGTTGTTAGTCAATAAAAGTAAAATAATTTAGATTTCATGTTCTGTTATCATTCAGGCTTGAATTCAGATAATAAGTATATTAAAGTCTAGCATGAGAGCCCAAGTAAAAGAAAACATTTAAGGATTTGAATTACTGAACCAAATAATATGATATCAGTGTTCTAAAACAAAGGAATAAAGTTATAAGAATCCAAAAAATGCCCTCTGGTTGCAGTCCGTATTCTCCTACCGCTTCTTTCTAGAGTGTTCAAATACAGTTATTTGCTTTTCTGGTTAAAAAAAAGATAGATTAAAATGTCCTCACAAGAAGATATCACAGCTAGCTAGCTTACTTTCCAGCATGTAAGGCTATTATAAGAATAGTCTATAACCTAAAGAGGTCACTCACAAGAATGCAACTGTGTCGGTACCCTGTTCTGAGACTTTCAGCCTCTAGAACTGAGAAAAATAAATATTTGTTATTTAAGCCACCTTAATTCATTATAGTCCCCCATGTTGTTTTATTATATGTTTAATATCTGGTGTGTCAGTAATTTCCCCTCTTGCATTTCTGATGTTGAAAATTTGTGACTTCTTTTCTTTTCTGCTTATCATTTTTAAAAAATCTTTTTAAATAACTAAGGTTTGGTTTGATTTTCTGTGCTGTTTTCTGTTTTCAGTTTTATTGTCTAATCTTTACTGTTTTTCTTCTGTGTTACTTTCTTTAGATTTAATTGTCTCTTTTTGTCTAGTTTCTTAAAGTGGGAACTTAAGTATCTGGAGATCTTTTGTTTCAAATATAAAAATTTTAAACCACATATTTATGTTTGAGCACTGCTTTAGTCGCATTCACAAATTTCTGTATTTTTGTGTTTTTTTTTTTTGAGTTGGAGTCTCACTCTGTCGCCCAGACTGGAGTACATTGGCCGTTCCCAGCCATTACAGCCTGAACCTGCTGGGGTCTGGTGGTCCTTCCGCCTCAGCCTTCCAAGTAGCCGGAATTACAGGCATGCACTACCCCTCCCAGCTGATTTTTTGATTTATTGTAGAGATGAAGTCTCTCTACCCAGGGTGGGACTCGAACCCGTGGGCTCAGGAAATCCACTCACCTCAGCCTTCCAAAGGTGCGGGATTACAGGCAGAGCCACTGAGCCCAGCTTGTGTTGTTTTCATACACTTCAAAATATCTTATTTGAACCTTCTTCTTTCACCCATGAGTAAATTAGAAGAATATCATTTATAAATATTTTGTGTATCTTCAAGTAAAAAAGTGTTTATTAATTTCTAGTATAGCTTCTCTGTAGCTCAAGAACATCTTTTGTATGATTTCTGTTCTTCTGTATTTGTGAAGATTTGTCTAACAGCCAAGAATGCGTTCTATTTTGCTGAATGTTCCATGTATATTTGAGAAAATGTGAGTTTAGCTGTTGTTGAACGCACTGTGTCCTTGAGTTTGAAGATGTGGCTATCACAGGCGCTACTTTATCTCTTCTCCCTATAGTTGGGCCTACCAGGTATTCCTGCCTCTTATGTTTCTGTGCTGCTTTTCTTCCTCTCGCTGCTGTGAGTGCCTGCTAGTGCCCTAAAACAGCAGATTTGTTGTTCTTACCCTTCCAGATGAATATATGTGTCCCATAAATTAGATAAGAATATATTTCTTTTTTTTGAGTTGGAATATCAGTCAGTTGTCCAGGCCACCCCAGTGTTGACCTACTAGACTCCGGCAGTCCTTCCACCATAGCTTTCCAAGTAGCCAAAACTACAGGCGCTACCACATCCAAGTAATTTTTTATTTCTTGTAGAACGAGGTCTCACCAAGTTGTTCGGGCTAGTCTCTAACCTGTGGGCTCAGGCAATCCACTTGCCTCAGCCTCTCAAAGTGCTGGGATTACAGGCTAAGCTACCAAGCCTGGCCAATAAGAATATATTTCTAGGCAGAATTTTGGCAGCAGCTCCTGTTACATCTTCCAGCATATCCTGACAATGGAACTTTCTCAGGATCCTTTATGATTTTTCCTATGAGCTCCCCATTTGGCTCATGGAGGGAAATATTGCAGGAGCACAAAGATCAGCTGTATCCTTTAAATTACTTTTGGCTAGAAGAAACAGGCTTTTTTTTTTTTTTTGGAGCTCTTTTTGTTGCTGGCTCCAGATTGTAGGTTTCTTCAGCACACTGTATACTATATATGGGAAGCAGAAAGAAAGACTTTGGAATTCTCTGCTGTGTCATTTCTTAAGTACTGAGGTTCACATTTTTCTATTGTGTAGAGTCTTTGTATGTTTGTTCATCTTTTTTTTTTTTTTTTTTTGGCAAGGATTTTTAATTGTAAGAAGGAAGATCTGGCAGTAAAGGGCCTACTCCATCTTGGATGAAAATAATACCTATTTCTTTAAACATTATGGATGAGGAACAAGAAAGAGTATCTGTCTATGTGCACTTTTAGTCTTTGGAAACACAACCAGAAACAATAGAATAAAATACATAACAAAACATGGGTACAAGTCCCTCTCCATGAAAAGTGTAAGATTTATAATATGTTTTTAATTTTTTTCATTTTAGGATATTATAAAATTGATGACAACATACAAGAAATCCTGGAAAAACAAAAGAAGCCTCTGTGTCAAGTAATATTCATTGATAACAATGATAAAACAATGAGTAAAGAAGAACAGAAAGCACACCTCAATTGGTATCAGAGGACCCATTCAGGGGAGAAACTTCAGTATGAAGAATGTGGGAAATCATTTTGTACAAGCTCACACTCTATTCCGCATTCTGGAGCTTATGTGGGGTTCAAACTTTACGAATGTAATGAATGTGGGGAAACTTTCTGTCAGAAGTCAAACCTTAGTGAACATGTGAGAATTCACACAAAGGAAAAAACTTATGGTAACAATGACTGTGGAAAATCTTACAGGTCACCCCTTATAGGACATCACAGAACAGAAACAAAGATGAAACTCTGTGAAGGCAACGAATTTGGGACAACATTCTTCAAGATGGCATGTCTCAAAGAACATTGGAGAATTCACACTGAGGAGAAACCTTATGAATTTATTGAATGTAGGAAAATTTTCTTCACGTCATCACATCTCAGAGCACATCAGAGAATTCACACAGGTGACAAATCCTTTGAATGTATTGAATGTGAGGAAACTTTCTCTCACAAGACACACCTCAAGGCACATCAGAGAATCCACACAGGAGAAAAACCCTATGAGTGTATTGAATGTGGAAAACCTTTTACCTGTAATTCAGCCCTAGAAGCACATCAGAGAATTCACACAGGTGAGAAACCCTATGTATGTGCTTACTGTGAGAAAACTTTTGCCTGTAATTCAACCCTCAGATCACATCAGAGAATTCACACAGGGGAGAAACCTTATGAATGTAATGAATGTGGGCGATCTTTTACCTTCAGTTCAGGTCTAAGAGCACATCAGATAATTCATACAGGTAGGAAGCCCTATGAATGTAGTGACTGTGAGAAAATTTTTACCCATAATTCAGCCCTCAGAGTACATCAGAGGACTCACACAGGGGAGAAACCGTATGAATGTAATGAATGTGAGGAAACTTTTGCCCATAATTCATCACTTAGAGCACATCAGAAAATTCACACAGGGGAGAAACCATATGAATGTAATGAATGTGGGAAAACTTTCTCCCGAAAGTCACACCTTAGTACACACCAGAGGACTCACACAGGACAGAAACCTTATGAATGTAATAAATGTGGGAAAACTTTCTCCCAGAAGTCACACCTCAGGACACACCAGAGGACTCACACAGGGGAGAAACCCTATGAATGTAATGAGTGTGGGAAAACTTTTTCTGAGAAGTCATATGTTAGTGCACATCAGAGAGTTCACACAGGGGAGAAACCCTATGAATGTAATATTTGTGGAAAACCATTTGCCTTTGACTCAACCCTCAGAGTGCATCAGAGAATTCACACAGCTGTGAAATCCTACGAATGTGATAAATGTGGGAAAACTTTCTCCCAGAAGTCAAACCTTAGTGCACACCAGAGGACTCACACAGGGGAGAAACCCTATGAATGTAATGAATGTGGGAAAACTTTCTCCCAGAAGTCATGCCTTAGGGCACACCAGAGGACTCACACAGGGGAGAAACCCTATGAATGTAATATATGTGGGAAACCATTTGCCCTTAACTCATCCCTTAGAGTGCATCAGAGAATTCACACAGGTGTGAAATGCTATGGTTGTAATGAATGTGGGAAAACTTTCTCCCGGAAGTCATATCTTAGTGCACACCAGAGGACTCACACAGGGCAAAAACCCTATGAATGTAATGAACGTGGGAATACGTTCTCCCAGATGTCACACCTTAGTGCCTACCAGAGGACTCACATGGGAGAAACCGTAGGAGTGTAATGAATGTGGGAAATGTTTTGCCCACTTTTCAACTCACAGAGTACACCAGAGAATTCACACGGGGAGAAACCCTGTGAATGTGGGAAAATTTTTGTTCGTAAGGCAGCTCTTAGAGTACATCACATCAGAATGCATACCAGAGAGAAAACCCTAACGCATCATGAATTTGAGAAGTCCTGAATTAACTCATACCTTATTTTATACCACACAGCAGAGAAACTCTTGTCATGTAGACTGGAAAATTGTTTTTCTTAACATTTACCTTTTCCACTTGGCTCATACCTTGTTGAAAATCCAAATCTCATTCATCCAGGTGGGCTGACCAAAGAATATGATGCTAATGATATCTATTATATTTAGTCCTCCCCTTAAACATCGTATAGTCTTCCTGGTCCATGGTAAGTTGGGATTGAGATGATTTCCACAGCAAGTTGGTTTTTGTGTGTTGAATGTGGTGGAGCACAAGGTCAAAAGAAGCTAGAATCTGGGTAACTATTTGGAATATAATTCTCTGCTTCCAGATTTTCATCAAGTTGTTTGTTTTTCAAGCAATAATTAAGTTTGTTTTCCATTGAGCTCACAGATTTGACCTATTAGTTAAATGCATTCTTTTGCTAACTCTCTATTAGACTGGGATGAAATCCTATTAACACAATACATTTCAGAAGAACTATTAGAATTCAGTTTTATTGTATCTCGGAGACTTCACATGAGGAAGAAAATTGTCAACATCCTGAATGATCAGAAGCCTTCATTACAGTCAGAGACTTTTCAGGGAAAAACACAAAAGCCTTCACAACAAAATTAATGGCATTAAACATCAAATAGGATAAAATTTTATATTTTGAATAAATGATTTTTAACAAATATTGAATGTTTGTTTTTAGAAATTT